CACCTTCTCTGAAGAAATATATTTCATTGTTTGTTCTTTATTATTATTATTATTATTGTTGAAGTTTCATTTATTAGTATTAAATATAGTATAAATTGTTATCAGTTTTATTGAAAATGTGCGTTTTAATTAACGCTGTGAGAAGCTTTTTCAACTACTACTGAACAATTTCTTTCTGTTTTATCATCGCGTCGTCCAAAGCCTACTTGATCAAAGTGTGCGTTTCAAAGTCTACATGAAAAAACCTAAAAGCTCAGTATTTCAAAGATGACTTCAACAAAACATCAAGTGTCCTACATTTCTGGAAAGGGAATTTTAAGCTCTTTGGAATATGCAGAAATATACAGGGTGTCTCGTTAAAAAAGTTTTTTATGCCATTGAATTCTACGAAAAAAAGTGCTCTGTATATGTTTTCATAGAAACAAGAAATTTTTGACAGTAAAACAGTTACAGCAACTTTTCGAAAATCCACATTTTCAAAAACTTGCTGTAAGTCAGATATTGGTATACGGTTGTCACCATCAAGTTTGTCATACAATTTGCCCCTCAGACACAGCCATCAGTTTTCATCTATCTAATTTGAAAAGAGCATTTTCCATTTAAGTGTCCAATTTGGCCCACCCTATACCAATAAATATAGGGAGAGTATAGGGAGAACTCCATAGTTCACAAATGAAAATTGTCAAAATGAAGGGTTTATTAGCACGTTCATATTTTTGGTGGCCGTCGATAGACAATCAAATTGAGTCTATTGCAAAAACCTGTGACGCTTGTAAGATACATGGGAATAATCCACCAAAATACATTCAAGTCACTTAGGATTGGCCGAAGGAACCTTGGACTAGAATCCATGCCGATTTTTTTGGTTCAGTTATTGGTAAAAATTTCTTAGTCGTACAGGATTCCACGTCAAAGTGGATTGAATGCTTTGAAGTGAGTAATATTACAACTACCACAGCAATACATTTTTTTAGGGAATTATTAGTAAATTTGGTTTACCAAATACGATCAATGCCCCAACATTTTTGTCTGAAAGATTTCAAAATTTTCTCGAAACCAGTGGTGTGGAACGCATTAATGCCACTAATGGACAAGCGGAGACTGCTGTCAAAATAATGAAAAAAAGAAATTTTGAAAGCGACAGACAACAGTAAAAATGATATCGGAATTATTCTGATAATAAATTTATTCTTGTTTCATTACAGAAACACCCCGCAAAATTGTTGTTAGGACATAAATTGCTATTTACATTCAGTATATTGTTGCCATCTATTCCAAATACTATCTGCAGGAAACAAAATTTACAAATGAATAATTTTAAGGAAAGAAAAGAAAAAAGCTTCGATGTAAACGATAGACATAAGTGGTGTCAAGGTATTATAATAAGACGTTCTGGCAAACAAACTTTTAGAGTTCGATAATCTCAAGGAATGAAATGGAAACGTCATTTAAATCAACTTAAAAGAGATCATAAACCTGAAAATACTACAGTGACGTCAAATATCGATATCATTCCTCGATCAGACTTGATTGTAAAAACTATAAATACTGTGAATATTGATCGTAATTATAGTATAAGTAAAATTGGCGTTAACGGAGATGGAGATAAAAACCTCGAGCATAACGATTGCATACTAAGAAGAAGAAGCCAACTTAAACCTCCAGAACGTTTAGGGTATTGATAATGCGTTTTTATCACCTCTCATTTGGTGCTCCGTTGTTAATTTGACCCCGACTGAATGAATACCTTCCTAGGTCAAAGTGCCACTCTATCCCAGATCGCCAATGCGATCTGCCACTCTATCGCCTTAGGATACTGTACTATGCCAGGTCGCCAATATTTGAAAATCATACGATATTTGTTAATACTCCGATGGAGGGCACAACTCGCTCATCACCGCGTAGAACTCTATTTTAAATAATCTCGAGAGCATCTACCAAGGCAGTTTCAGTTTCAATTCAGTTCCAGCTCCGTTCGAGTTCCAGCTTGGGTCCGTAAATAAAGGCAAACCGTTAGACAAAAAAGTAAGTAGATAACAGAAAGAAAAGGGTGAGATAAAAAGTAGTGGTTCTCAGTTTGTATGGTATTTCGACAAATAATTGACAGTTTTATATTAAACGCCGTATGAAGAACACCCTTGACATAACATCATACCAAGTGGACAATTTTATTCTATGAGTTGTCATCGATTATTTTATTTTCAAGAAGGCCGTGTGCTGAACACCCTTCATGTTGATATTAATGAATTGACATATACTAGATACCGTTGTAATTAACCTCGTAAACGGATTTTATTTCACACGGACCATGTGACGAACACCCCAAATTTTTGATTAATTATTACACTGGGTGTACCATTATATTGTTGTTAGAATTTGTCGAGGGCCGTTTGCCAAACATCCCTTATGCTGATACCACCGCATATTGCTGGTTGTTATCTGTTTTGAACTGAGAATCACGAATTCTCATATAAGAGCTTTGAATGAGCTTAGCACTTGTGCTTGTGCACCGTTTGCCGTAGTCTTCTAACCGTCTCTCTCCTAGTCAATACTTGGCATGATGAATGCGTAACCTTTTTCAGCTGATGCTTCCGCTAGTAAAAATAGTAATACATTGATTTTTCTTGAATATTACTCATGATACCTGTACGACCCATATTAATTTGTTAAAATAAATTTGTTAATGTCTGATTCATTTGTTTCATTTTACTTCCAACTAAAAGCAGCATGTACCCAGGATTCGAACCCAGAACGGCAATTAAAGCCTACCGTACTGGCCACAATTAATTTAGTCGATACCATAGTGAACCCTGGTGTATTACTTTCTTCACTGACGCTGCCCAGAGCACGTGGAGCATACCATGCCGAAAGCTGGCGCCCGAGGCAACCCGTGACCTGAACTCGGCTTAAAAATAACCTGTAAACCCGTAACGTGTAAAGAGCGTCACACCATATATTGGTGTTAAAAACAGTTCTCTTTTTATATGTTTGTACTTTGATTCCCGATCCATGACGGTTTACTTGTCTAACAATGTCTACCATGATGAGTAATCAATAAATCACACTAAAATTGGTACTGTTTATTATTTATATTCTATTTGAATATTCATATTAATATCAATTTTTTTTCTGTTGTTAAGAGTCTTTCGTTAATTTAATTCTGAACACAAGCATTAGTATTTGACTAATGATGGAATGAAAATATCATTATTGAACCCTAAGTATCAACAAATATCATTGATTATTGAGTTAACATTAATGAGTTGACATCAAATACTTTATAACAATAATGTGTCTATTAATCTGCAATTTATCAGTGGACACACTGCATTCGTTTATGGCAAATAGAGAATAAAACCAATCCAATATATTTTAATCCTCAGAATTTTCAATTCTAAGTGTCATTGTGATATGAAACAGTGCACTATTCATTATTGAAATAGTTTTTTGGGAAATGTTTTGACTTTCTACCTCTCCATCGGTATACAAAAAAATATGTGAATGTTCCAAAAAAAAAGAAGAAAGCAATTGATTTCAGAATAAACTCTTTACAAAAATGTGTAGATAATGCAAAGAAGTATTTTTCAGACACAAACTGAAAAAAAAGCCCTCCCGAAACAACAACTTCCATATAAACATTGAATTACATGAAAGAAAAATACTTTCAAAACAACTACTATTCAATTTGTACTCCAAACATATGTTATGAAATTGAATTAGATATAATTCACAAGATTACTACACAATATAGCATAGATAGATAGATATATACGTTTATTCAATATAATCATTCACAGGAGTGGCAGAATATTTTTGTCTGAGAAACACGTCAAAAGAAAAATTGTAAAAATATCACATTTTAAAATGTGCGTCATATTGTGCATGATTATTGAAATTAGAGATAATTTGTATAAATACATAACGCATTTTTGAATAAAATTTGGTTCATAAATTTTAACAGGTCAGAAAATATTCATCAGTATTGTAGGGCTCTAGATTACATAAGAATTCTATAACAGATTTCAGAAATCAGTTAGCAACGACAATATTTTTTATGTTTTTCGGAAGATTATCATTAAATTTCATTCCAGTATAGATAGTGCTACTTTCATATAGGGATTTTGCATGTATGGGATATGAGAAGCCTTTTTTCGTCTTGTCTCATATATATGCGTTTTGCGATTTATGTCAAAATAGCCTGGACGATTGATGATAAATTTGATTGATTCATAGATATAGTTTGCTGACCAGTAAGTAGTTTGTTGATCTTAAAGGCTCCTCTGCAGGAATCTCTTGTATTCATATTGAAAATTATTCTGGTAATTTTTTTGACATAAGAAAAATCTATTCAACCCATGACATGAGCCCCAGATGATTATCCCTAGTCTCATAGCGAAGTAAAAATTCGCATAATATACTTTAACTAGTGCTTCAAGGTCAAGATCATATGAAAGAGGTAATATTTAACTTATTCAAAAAACACTTTATTGTGAGATTTAAACTAAAAATTTTTACAAAAACGCAAAACGTGTTTCGCCATACAATGGCTTCTTCAGGCATGTCACTTAAATGGAACTGTCATCCTCAATGGCGGACATCGACTTAATGAGACACTTGCCTTATTGACTCTTCAGTCCCAATCTGGATAACATTACAAGATGAAGCACTCAATCCACTCATAAAATTACGATCTTATGTCACGAACTAGTTAAATTTACTCATTTCATCGATGACAGTACTTAATGACATTAATGCGCTTATTTGGTTTAGTCCCAGCCATAGGAATCTTGTTTAAATTGAAAGGGGCATATTTTAAGGAAAGATTAATTTTTGGAAAAGAAAGGTTTTGAAAGTAGAAAGTTCAAACCTTTCTTTTCCAAAAATTGATCTATCCTAAAAATATACACCTTTCAATTTAAATTATAATAGTGTTTTGTATAATGAATAAAATAAATAAAATTTACCGAAAAATTTGTTTTTTATCAACCAATGATTGTTACCTGTTGCATTCATAGAATTGAGTGTTTCCTTTTGCTTCTGTCCAATTCCAAAATAAGTTAAGCAAGTCAAAATGGGTGCAGAGAGGGAAAATATTAACAAATGTTTTCTTATTCTTTGTCTGAAAATGAATGAAATACAAATACATTAATTAATTCAAACATTCAGATCATTCTTGCATCACAAAAAATTTAAATAGAAACGTGAATCAAAACTCACATTTGTTTGAAAGTATTAGAGAGTTCTTCACAACGGTACCGATATTCTTACTACAATTTCCCAAAATGAAACATTCAAAAATGAATCAATTGAAAATAGTTACTGTAAAATATGGATGAAACAACATTTGAGGCTAGGATTTTATTAAAATTATTATTTCATCATCTACATTTCAACTTATCCAAATATAGTGTAAACATAACAGAATGTTAATGAATATAACTCGAGTTTTTTCCCAACACTAAATCGTTATTTCAACACCTCGAAACGTGTTTCGATCACCAAGTGATCATCTTCAAGGGGAAGATTAATCTTCCTCTTAAAATAACTATTGAGTGTTGGGAAAAACTCCAGTAATATTCATTACCACACCAAAGGTTCCAAACTGCATCACAAATAACAGAAAGTTGTTAAAAATCACAGAATATTTACCTATCTATGCCTTCATGTAAAAGAAATGTTACCAAACCAAAAGCAGCTGGAGCTTTGTGAAGCATAATGGCCAAAAAAACTATTATTTCAACATCCGCATGACTAGTTGTTGCAGCAGCACCTAAGGCTACACCATCGGCTGCTGCATGAACCACCAAACCTATCGTCGCTGTGACGTTTCTTTCAGATGGGTTGAGGTTTTCATTTCTGCTTTGTGAAATCTAAAAAAGTATTTGTAGAACTTTGTTTTTATTAGAAATTTAAATATCTCAGAAATTGACAATTACAGAAATTCGACATAGGACTAGTTAATATAAATGACAATTCTCATAAAAATGGAATAAATACATCACATTATTGCAAAACGTTCAAGTCTGTTTTGAAGAGATAACACTATTGTGATACCAAGGAAGTGCCTTCCTGGAAACAGATTAATCTCATCAGAAGACTCTGCGAACCAGAGATCGATCAGATTATGATTCATGTACAAAATCCCTTATAGATCGCGGTACTAAGAATCCAAAGGGGCTTGTGACTCATTACAATCTACGATATTCCCAGATTAGGATTCATGTACAAAATCTCTTTTATGTCGCAGTACTGAGAATCCAAAGGGGATATTACAATATATAATATTCCCAGGGAATATTACCATCCTATTTTTATTTAAACAGATGAGCATTCCTTAACATTACATTATTGTTCATAACATAGATTAGTATATTAAAATGATAAGGAACTATATGAAAGGATTCGTTTACAAAATGGTGGAGAAGTCGTTTTACTAGTTGGTCCTGGGTATTCATTGAAATTTTGTAAAATTCCAATATTCCCATACAATTTCATATAGCATACTTATACTCAATAAACTGTTTCACGTACCTGATCCACCAGAAGCATGAATATGAACCCCAGTACTAAGCTAATTCCTATCACAGATAACGGGTCTTTGTGCTCAAGTGTTTTAGACTCGTTATGAGCATGTTGGTGTGACTCTTCAGGTATCAGTGACCTCACACCTTCAGGGATTATCACAGTTAAAGCTGTTCCTACCAGGAGGCCTGCTCCAAAAACAGTAATTTTTTTTAGTTTATCCTGAAATAAATATGAAACAATTTAGGTATGTCAGAAGATTCTAAATATTAGTAATTGGCAAATTTTAATTTTAATTTGGGATATTTTCAAAAATATCTTACAGAGATTAGTATGAATGTGGTTGAGAATATTTTTGGGTGAATTTCATACTTTCGGACTTCCATTGTCTAAAAAAAGTGTTGATTGATTTAGATTCTTAGATTTTGGCAAAAACATCTGCTATACAGACGGGCTGAAACCCCATGATGGGGCGGGTATTGGAATATACTCCGCGGGTTGAAATTTACATTACAGCTACCCGCCATGACAATTCACACGTCATTCCGGCGGAATTATTTTATATTTTCAGAACACTCTTGAGAAACTTCAAGGGCTGAATGTTTCTTTCTTGTATTCATGTTCAGTACTTTTGCCAAGCATTATCTTGAGAGGACTGTTTATTATCGAATTCTTACACTTTGTGTGAAAAATCACCCATCTTTCCCTCTCTTTTTCCGGCCGTATCTCTTTGCTAGCTTAGCTGAATGCGTCGTTAGATGACATATATGTAACTTTTTTGAATTTCCTCTTAAACCAGTGTTCCTTCCTTGTGGATGATCTCAGTCTCCAGTAATAAAAACTATACTGTTATTATTTTTATAAAATATTTTCGGCGCACGCTTGTTTTATGCAAAAGTTATCTGAACTAGTGGTTCCATTATGGCACATAATTTTAAAAAAAACACACTGAAATGAAAATTTTTGGATACTCAATAGTATAAAATATTCCCCACCTTCCTGTTTACATCTAAAAATCCAAAAAAATATTCGATAGAGGAAATTGTTCTAATATTATTATGGATAGTGTTATTAATTTTCATCAAGTAATGGGTCAGTATATTCAATCAAAGAATAATGAAATACAAATATTTTCAAAAAAGAAAAATACGAATGTTCACTGTGTGTTGGGGTTTCTGCTCATCAAAATTATTGAGCATTGTCTGAGGTATGCTAAAAGTTTTATAAATTTTAAAGAAATCAAAACAATTTGCAAAAGAACCAACGACCAGGCTATAATTACGAACTGTTGTCACTGATGATGCTAGTTATTTTAAATGAAATGCTATTAAAATATCAGGTGTGATATACCACTGAATTGTGATTTTATCATTTTATTATTATTTGTGATGAGACAGATCAGTATTTCAAAAAAAAGTTGATGGTGACTGTGTTGACACGAAACGTTTACTCAAATATTTAGTGTTACGTCGTCATAGTACTATTTTGAATACAATAAAACTTTCCTTTTCCATTTTGCAATATTTTCTGAAGTAACAATTCTATTCGTAAAAACCCAAAAACAACATTTTTAGTTTTTCCGGTATAACTCGAGAAGGGCATAAGTCCCTGTAAATTTTCTTTGACCATTGTAATGCTCCTCATGATAGTTACTTTTTTCCATTCAACCGTCTTCATATCTGTTAGAATTTGGAATATAACAATGTTATCAAATGATAAAAGAAACGAACTATATATCTTTGTTCTCTGGGTGTCGTCACACGTCACAATAAATAAAAGCTGTATAAAATAAAGGCTGTAGAGATAGTAAACTGAAACCAAAAAATGCCAGGAAAACAGCCGACAATTAATGGCGAAGCCAAAGAAAAACATGAAAAAAAAAGGGTGGTCAAACTATGTTGACTAGTGAATAGGAAACAGATGTAAGTATGGGAATACTGAGTGCTGCAGAGTTGAGGTTTTCATAATCAAGATTAGATATTACAATCATCAGTCAAAAACTAGATCGATAGATGTGGAAAGTACAAACAAAGTTCAAAAATGACCAAATTTCCGGTAATGAATGGTTCTATGAATTTTTAAAACGACAAAAACACCTTACTGAACGTTTGGCTCCGAATATTTAAAGATGTAGAGTTAATGGAGATTATGTAACATATTATTTCGAATAGACTGTGTTTCAACCGAAAATATCTTGAATTATGATGAGTTAAACCTGACCGATGATCCAAGAAAACTCATTCATTTGTAAACGAGGGCAAAGCAATACAATTCTCGATTATTCAACGAAAGTCATTTTTTGTGGAGGAAAAAATCAGTTTTTTATCGACCTTTTTTGGTCGATGACCTGAATATTTCTTTGAATTATATCAACGAGCGGGAGCCGACAATAAAATTCACAATAGAGATTGAACAAGATGGTCGACTCCCTTTCCTTGATGTAATATTGGAGAAGTCATCAGATCAATTTGATACAAATGTTTATCGGAAGAAAACACATACAAATAGATATCTCCACTATACATCAAATCATCATGCCCATAGAAAAAATGAATATAAATGACAATTCTCATAAAAATGGAATAAATACATCACATTATTGCAATAAAGAAATATCATTAATTAAATCTGTTTTGAAAGATAACGCTTATCCAGATTCTTTCATAAATTCAACGATAAATTCAATAGAAAACAAAGAGTCAATTAAAAACCAAACGAACATACAAACAGCTTCACAAATTCAACAACATCCAACTAAACAATTACCGACTCAACATCCAACGACACCTTTTACAACTAACGTTATACCAACATTCCAAGACTATCTGAAAAAATAAGACGAATTGGAAATAGATATGATGTTAGAACTACTTTCAAAACAAAAAAATACACTGAGATCTATACTCACACATACAAAACCCAACAACACTGAAGAAAAAACAAAAAATTGTATTTATAAAATACCTTGTTCTTGTGGTAAAAGTTACATTGGTGAAACCTCAAGACCATTGAAAGTGCGTGAGAATGAACATCGAGATTATATAAAAAATAGACAATTGACAGGATCAAAATTATCAGAACACATTTTAAAATCAGACGGTGAACATCGGGTGGAATGGAATAGGACAAGAAAGATTACTAATGAGCCTCATTCTAAGAGACGTAAGCTAAAAGAATCAGCGTATATTCTCATGTCTGGAGAGAATTGTATCTCGAATAGCTCCTTAGAAATAGACCGTACTTGGCTATCCATCTTGAAGAAAACTTTGGATAGTGGCGAAATGGCAACAAACTGATATCGGAGAGTACCTTGTATTACATCGAATGTTTCAGTTATCAATCAACAACATTGACATAATTTCATATTTCAAAACTTCTTTGACATCTGTCGAAGAAGTAAAGAAATAAGCTATCAAAAAAGGAATAACTGCGTATATATTCGAATTTTTTTATCCATTTCTGAAGACGGAGGAAGATTTTGGCCTCCGAAACGTAAAAGATAAGTATTTGTTAATAATTTTTTTGATAGGCAAAATTGTTAAATACGATAAGTTACTGATAAATAGAAGATTTTTCTTTGTGAAAAATACTTTGATTTTTACGCACTTATCGGGGTAAACTAAAAAGTTTGCCCTTCTACACTTGTATAAAGTTCTCCATTTTTTTTTATTTGTTTATTCTGACCAATCGAAAGTTGTGATCGATGTGAATTCTGATTTAATATTTTTTCTGTCCTTACCTGATCACTATCTCCTTTCTGTTTTCTCATTGTACACTGAATAATATAATATATGCTTTTTTATTCAAGAGATGTTTGGTCACGTCAGTAGGATATCATCGTATTTTGTTCAAAAAACTGTTTTGAGCTGATCGGGCAGTCTGGCGAAAAAACTAACTATTTTTCCTATTTACAAAGTAATATATCCTTTAATTCAAAGAGTGGGTATATTTTTGGGGGATTTTTGTTATAGTTCACATCCCAAATATTCTTTAAAAACCCTCAAACAAAAAGTGTGTGAATTCACCCCAGATGAAGGGGTGTTTTCAATTATCTGTTTAAAAAACAGATAATTGAAGTACATACCTTGCGAGATTCTTATTCGATGTAAAGATCAAATAATCGATAGGTTGATAACTAAAATAAAAACGTTACTTTTTGTTAGAGAAAATAATATGGATTAGTTAATACAACTCCCCAATAATGTGAGTTGTGGGAACAGTTGAGTCCCTTAATTACGATGAACACCTGCAAAATCCTCAGCAACTCATTGACTTGATTCAAAAATTGCCAGCCTTCAAAACTCCAATGTGTCAGTAGTTTCTTTCAAAAGTTAAGATAGACTTTCGAAAAATGTTATCAACGGTCTTTCTTTAAAAACAAGCATTTTTCCCAATCACCAGAAATGCAATACTCTTGGAGATGAAGTTTTCTCCATCACCTGAAAACGCCAACATGGTTGTGATTGTGTTTTATCTTTTCTGCTTATTTGAGTAATATGCTTTTATTTGAAGATCTTCCAGATTTGTTCTTCTGGCTTCTTTAGATACCTCTATTTGCTAGGGTGTGGCTCCTCTTACTTTCTTCTGTTTCATTTTGTTTTGTTGTAACGTGTTAGGAATCACACGGTAAAAGGTAAGACCTCGTTAGTCCTTAGCTCGCAGAAGTTTCTCAACTTCTGAGAGTTGTCGTTCGTATGGGGGCGACAGCTGATTAATGGAAAAACAGACTTTAAACAGATTTGTTATATACAACTTTTTGGTTTTTATTGATCAGAAACGAACTATACCTGAATCATGAAGAATCTAATGAAGCTAAGAAATATGCTAGCATAAGATATTCGGAAAATCTCTATGAAAACAAAAAACTATTTTTCAAATTTACCAAAATTACATCATTTACTAGTAGGAATAATTTAGGGAACATTCAACGCAAAACCCAAAAGAGATAAGTGGAAAAAATCGTGCATATATAGACTAGAATGTGGTGACTGTGTAGCAGCTTGTACAGACCAAACAGGCAAAAATTTCAACATTAGGTACCGCGAGTATGTTTATCAGATAAAAAATTAGCTATATATGGATATCTACGAGAAAAAAATCACATAATATATAAAGAAAACATGAACATTTTCCAAACATGCAATAAAGAAGGGGAGATGAATTTATGGAAAGCATTGGAAATAAATAAATTGTATGAAAAACTCCATCTTCAAAAATCTCAA